TTTTTTCTTGTTTCTTTATTATTTATAAACCAACACAGTTGTGTTGGAGGCCGGTTGAAAAGTCAATATGTTAATTAACCTTGAAAGGTCTACGGACACGAATATGCCTACTTGTTTAATGGCAGCAGATGGTCCATGCAGGGGAAAACGAGGTTCAATTTTTTTTCTCTCTTCAAAAAAGAAAAATTAATGTTTCTTGCATCTGCAGTTTAGGATATGCTTTGATTATTAGCACTAAAAAAAAAACCTGATCACCGCGTCAACTTTCATTACTTGTCTTCCGAATACATGTGATACCTGCAATTAGTGGTCATTACCCTCGCCGCTTTGCCAACAAACCAAGCCCAAAATTGCTTTCCTGTCAGTAAAGAAAAAAGACCCCACACCCAATAACAATATCGGTACACGGTGCCACCCCAAGTTATGAGGCACGCTCAGGGCATTGCCGCGCGCCAGGCCCTTTCACCCTGGGCTCCGAACGACGCGGGTCGGGGCCCAGCGGCAAGCGACTCGAAACCCTGACAATGCAAATGACTCCGATCGGAAGTAACCCTCGCACGGTCTGTTGAACCTACGCCCGCATCACCAGAACACCCCCCCAATCGAGATTCACATGCAGCCAAATGCTCACATTCAAGATCGTGTTTTGCGCCTATCTTTTGTTTTACAGAATTATAGGTCTTTCAAATATTTTCATTCTTCGTGAAAGCACCGTTGAAACTATTATGTCGTCGTTTTCTCAATGTTTCGCATTTTCTTGTTCTTGTGTAGGGAAACTGTTTGGAAATTGGAAGTTACCTGACTTATTCTTTTGTCCGAATGTGCTTAAAGGTGCAAACACTTAATCGTACATATTGTTTCATAGCACCTAGTAAATTAAATTTTGAGTCCATATTAAAACCAAAATCATTAAGCTGAAGTCTGCAAAGAAAATTCCCGTCAAAAGCTTCATTCATAAAGGGAATTGAATGCATGCGTAGGGGTTCTTGGCTTCGAAAACTGTTCATTGGTTTCAAAATTATGTAGCGGTTCTTTCGTGCCTGATGCTGCGTTATTGGTCTTGTTTGAATAGCCGATGTGTATCGTGGTGGCTGTGAACGTACACCTTTATACAGCGAGCGATCATGCATGTTGTCAATGTCCCCGCGCAGGCGCAGTCCTTGAAAGTATAGAGTCGGGGGTCGAAGGTCTGACTCCAGCATGTTTTGCATGAATGATGGGGACAGTACTCAACAAGAGAACGTTTGGATTAATGCGACGGTTTCCCCTCTACCTTACTCTAGCCGAAGCAAAGAACACCCTAGTTGTCTGACAGGCACTTGTGCGTAAAAGAAGATATAGGCCTATTGAAATTATGATTTTGAAATGTGGGGATTTTACAGAAATGTGTAGACACCAAGCGGTTTTTGTATCGAGACACACAACCGATCTAAGATGTTAAGTTATTATTGGTGTTGTTATATTCAAATTATTGGTACAATTCTGGATTGTGTCTTGGTTTTGTTGTTGTTGTTTGTTTGTTTGTTTTTCATGGTTAATTTAAGAATTTGTACAAATTGTAAAAAAGGGATGTTTTATACCAAAAAGATGTCCATGTGAACTTGCGAAGGAAAAAAATGAATTCATCAATTTGTCTGAGTCTAGCTTACCATTTCTTGCTTCACTTTATTATGGTTTCCAGAGTAGAAATAGTTGAATCGATGGTAAAACAAAAGGTTTCTATCAGCAGACAGTTATGGTATATAGGTCTTTTTTCAAGACGCTTTATCATGCCGCTTTGTCTCGGTCGATAACCTGTCGCGGTTCATGCCTAGCTGTCTTGGCAGTTTTCTCCTCGAAAGTCATTAAAGGCTCAAGAGCGCGTCTAGTAATCGACGTAATTAAGTCAAAGACAATTTTTATTACCGCCAAGCCGCTTCACTCCCGTCCTCAAACGAGCATAATTCAAAGGAGATTGTGTTGGCGGCAAAGACCTCAAAAGAAGTTGGAGACAGTTAGTTGGGGGGGATAGACAAAAATTATGAAAACAGAATCACTGCTCCCAACTTTGGAGACGGCCGCACCGCTCTCTCGCCTCTCTACTCCCGCTAAGCTCTTGTGACCGGAGCGGAGGCGCTGCCGAAAGTTATCCGGGCCTCCTCCTCTTGCCCAATCAAGTGCCACACATCAAGTAGGAAAGGCAAACGCGGAGGCGCTGGAGAGAAGTGGGGGAGCGAAAAACTGCCGAAAAGAACAAGACTCGATCAGCGCGGCAGGGCCCGGGCCATAGCAATAATAGTGATAAGTGCACTCACTTTCAAGTGCCGACCGCAAACCCGTTCGAGCAAGAAAACCAGCCGTGCTTTCCCCCTTCAAGAGCCGCGATGCGTCCGGCCCGAAGGATGACTCGGGCCCGATGAATTATGTAAAACCAACTAGGCAAGTATTTTTACAGTATAATTTTTCACACGGCGGGTTAACAAAAATGTATTACGGGAAGAGAGAAAAAGAAAAGGAAAAAGAGGGAAGGGGGGTTGTAAAAAATGGCCAAGAAAACATTCTTGGATGTTTGGACGACCGCTTGGCTCATGAAGTTATACGGGATCCGTGGAGTGTCTCTCCGGCGTCATGCGGGTAAACAAAGAGATGGGCAATCACCCCTATACTCGGTGATGAGATGTAATTAACCAATTCACCATGCTACTACAAAAGCTTCGAACACTCTGTTTAAAGCCGAGTACAATTTCTGTGCGCTGTCTGTTCAGCGACTAGCGGCGTGCCGGAGCGCTGCCGCTGGAGATCTGATTACTTTCCCGTGTGGCCGACCGAAGTGTCTTTGAAGTCGATTCGGCAGCGCGTTGGCCGCTCTGGTCAAGATCAGGTATTATTTCCTTGGCGCACAAGAACACAAACATAAACCCTCCAAATTCCGCTCGCCTTGCAGACGACAAAACTCGTGTGATAACGATGAACTTTAAGAGGGATTTTTTGCCCTTGATTTTCAAACCGTTAGTTCCATCAACTATCAGAAGAAAATAAAACAGAAAGTATCAGTTCAACTCCAATTGGAAAATAAATTAACACAACTGAAGTGTTCAAAAAATGATCCTCACCATTACAGACTTTCATGACAGAAAAAATTAATTGCGCCATTTGGTGGGCTAAAAAGCAGATGCGTTCCGCAAACGTTTCTGTTAACGAAGATTTTAACTTCCTTTTTGTGTTGAAGTTAAGACATCGCAAGTGCCACAACAGAAATAACATTGCTTCTGAAGCCTCTAAATTGTTGTAAATAAAAACACGCACGTTAAAGTCTGTGGCAACCACATCCCAAATGGCGCCACACACACGGGACTGCGATAGAAATGCCGCATAGAAACTGCAGCAGTACCAGCGAAAACCACTCGTGTGTCGTCGTTGGCGGCGCTGTTTAAGGCCAAGCCATTCTGCCACCGTGGTCATTGGCCTCTGCTGATTCCGAGTGACCCCCATGGTGGACAGTAATCCGGTCTTGGCTAACCAAGCGTTATGGCCAGACCAGACGGCCTCTTCAACACGCCACGCCCCACCTGGCCAGCCAGTCAAAATACCAAGTCTGATAATGCCAAAAGACTTGGTTTTTGTTTGACAATGGGTCACGGGGACAGTATGAAGCATCGGGCAACCCCAGCTCATGAGGACGGCAGAAAGCGCACACACCGTCTCCGTGACCTGACCGAATGGACGTGATCGACTCCCCTTAGATCGATAAGTCTGTGTCTTTGTATCAGCTAGATTCGGAGAATCTCACACCAACTGACCTCCTCGTCAAAAATGGCTCTAATTGTCCTTCAGACTGGAAAACGTGTGATCACTCAAAACATACATCTTTGTTTTCCCGACTGATTCCACCGTCTGGTGGGTCACTTTTGTGACTTTTTTCTTTACTTATTACCAAACTGATTGCAGTGTTATGTTTAAGTATTTATTTGAATTTAAATTACAATAAAAAAAACTAAAACTGTATTGCTACATGCAGCGTGTACCCTTGTTCAATTGGCTTAAAGACAATGAATTATTTTCAAAGCTTTAACCATCAGTAATGACGTCAGGCTGGCCTCGCCCAATGAGGATGCGCAGATGCTACTCCCGTGCGCCTGCACATGCAGCCGGCGGCAGCGTGCATATTTTAAGAGGCGAAAAGATGGATAGTCTTACGCGCTGGGCCCTACGAGATATTGATTAATGTTAGATAGCCGGTAATCACCGCATTCGCTTTCCCTGCTGCTGGCTGCCAGTCACTGCTCGGGCCGGCTCGCTCGCTGTGATTTTCGGGCCACGAAAACGAGCGGGGAAAAGGAGACAGAAGAGTGGAGGGGAGAGGAAAAAAGAGAGAGTTCGGACAGGGATGCGGCCGAGGCGTGGCAAGCGGACGCAGGCTTACCTTCCCCCGGCTGCCGTCTGGAGGTGACTTCGTCATCACTCTGCCTTTATGACCGGGGGCTCGCATAGCCGAGCGGGTGAGAGAGATGATGACTGACTGACTGAGCCCAGCCACCCGTCTCTGCCGTGGACAGCTCCGCACGCTGATGAATGCTCGTGGTTCCCCGTTGTAGGTTTATTGTGCCATGATGAGAGATATTTTTAGACGCGCTGCCTCTTGCTACGTGAGAAGTCGCGGCGCATGCGAAGTCAGGGCCTCCGCCGTTAGGGCTCCACGGCTAGATTGGGGTTAACCCGGACATAATTGTGGTTAACCTGGTTTCGTGATAATTTCTATCTTCAGTCATACCGAGGTGTGGTATTCTGTTTCCTGGACACTCAGACGAAATAGGCATTAAAGGGCTATTTGGTTTTCATTTTTTACAACCCTTGGAATGATCACTTCAGTGCACACAGACTGTAAAGTCATTTGTTACTTCAGCGCCCTGTAAAGGATGCCCAAGCTCTGTACTTATACTACGGTATAATTGACTGGTTTTCTTTAAATAAGAATGAACATCTCATAAACTTTTAATGGTATTTTTATTCTCTATTTATAGGATCAGCCACGTCTGGGAACTACTCCTCTAGCCATGCTTGCCGCTACCTGCAACAAGATTGGTACCAAGACCCCACCACCATCTATGACTGACGTCTCCACCCCCCAGACCAAAGGCTTTCTACCCTTCAAAAAGACTCCCTCCATGTCCGACCTACCCACAGCTCTAGCCGACTCTAGGATGCCCACCGTCCCTTCCGCCTCGGCGGCCAACGGCTTTACTCCTTACTCCATTTCGCCGGCCGTGGCCGTCCACAACTCCTCATTGACCAGCTCCACGGCGGCCGCCGCCGCCTACAACGAGATGCTGGCCCACGGAAGGACTTCCCTTAAATCCAGCCTGCCGTGGACCTCCACAGATTCCGCGTCCCAGCCGGCCATAATCCACAAACTGCACGGCAGCACGGCCGACCACTTGGTAAACGTCTGCCCTGGCGTGCCCATTTGCCCGCACCCCTACGACTCGTGGCTGAAGGCGTCCACCGCGGCCGCAGCCGGCATCGCAAGGGACTCTAGCTCGGCCTCCACCCTCAGCTGGTGGGAGCTGCGCGGTGGCTCGAGTTGGCTAGACCTCCACCCGAGCACCGCCGTGGCGCTCAGCTCCCAGCTCCCCAAATATTCCAGTTACGCTGCTGAGTGTGCTGCCTTGAACGCCACCCACCCTGTGTTCAGCACCCCGAGTGGCCACCCCTTCATGACCGCGCCTCCCCTCTTCACCCACGATAGTCTGGGATCTTTAGTACCGCCGGGCTGCGATCTGATGAGCTTGTCCCAGATGCGATCCCCCTTCCTGACGCCCAGTGGATTCAGCGGACTCTCCCTGTCATCCCGAGCAAACCGGCGATACACGGGTCGGGCCACCTGCGACTGCCCAAATTGCCAGGAGAACGAGCGGCTGGCCGCGGCCGGCCAACCCATACGCAAAAAGAACATCCACACCTGCCACATCCCAGGGTGCGGCAAGATCTACGGCAAAACGTCCCACCTCAAGGCCCACCTGCGCTGGCACACGGGCGAGCGGCCCTTCGTCTGCAACTGGCTGTTCTGCGGAAAGCGATTCACCCGGTCGGACGAGCTCCAGCGGCATCTACGGACCCACACGGGCGAGAAACGATTCGCCTGCCCCACGTGCAACAAGCGATTCATGCGGAGCGACCACCTGAGCAAGCATATCAAAACTCACAACGGCAACACCAGCAGCAGCAGTAGCACAGCCAGCAGCAGCACCTCTTCAACTGCTAAGAAGAATGCCGTAGCCGCTGCCAGCGGTAGCGAGTCGGAGAGCAGTCCAGGTGAGCTGGGGAGCGAGGGGAATCCTTCCCCTCTCCCAACAAAGAACACGAGCTCCTCGTCGTCGTCGTCCAGGAGCCAGCACGAGGTAAAGATGATCACATCTTAAAAAGGTGACAAGACAGACTCTACAACAAACACATTTCATTGGTATTCGCCGCTAAGCCACAGCCAGCAGTCTTGCAGTGTTCTCGCAAAGTCTCGTCAAATCCCGAAAAGTGGTGTGTGTGTATGTTTATAGAGATATTCCTTTTTTTTCTAGCAGGGAGCTCGACGCCTATTGTGGATTCCTTTTAAGAAACACGACGTCGCATTTGGTGGCGTCTGTGTCGGTCACAACTACAGCAAAAATAAAACGTTTAATCCTTAATAATTGTTACACGGTGTGTGGTGAGTGTGTGTACATGACGTGTGTATATAATGCAGGCAATATGTTATCAGAACTTCTCTACAAATTCCCGGTTTTCGAGACTGAAATAGAGTAAGTAACGACCACGCTTGCCACCCACTATTGAAGATTTCTGTTGTAGAAGTTATCAGTTTCCATTTACCCGAAGACAATTCGAAATTGACATGGGGTTGTCTGGCATGTGTATATTGTTGAATTCGAGGCTAAAACTGTCCTACTTCTATCGGCAACATTTTTTTCTGCATCGATATGACAATTTTGTCTTCAGTCACTGTTCAAAAGTATTTACTCCAGAAAATTTTATTACTCGGCGTTTTTTGTTGTAGCACTTGTAGATGTTGCAGTCCTGATTTCAACCTGACCGTCTCATTAGGGGCGGAGGTTTTTTTTTTGGGGGGGGGTGATAGGCAATTTGTGTACACGTATTTGTTTGGTCATTGTCGAGGTTTAAGGCTTCATGTTGGGGGGTTTTACACACTGCGGAGGAGAGGATAATGAAACATTTCCAAAACTCGTCCTTCTTTCTTTGAACTTGAGCTTACAAACCGAAAAGTGATCCTCTTGACCCTTTGCCCCCTCCATTGCATTCGCCAGTGATTCACATGTCCGGCCAAAATGTTTGACTAGGGAAATTTTCAAAAGCTCCCAACGTCACAACATTCAACATTAAAATGTCAACGTGTCTTTTCTACTGGCAGAAATAAGATTTTTCTTCTACTTGTCGGAAAATCTAACAATCTCACTAATAATGAGAGAGGTCTATGTCTTCGCAAAAAGTGAACATTTTCTTTGTTCAAATCCCAACAATATGAAGTTATGGATTCTTGCACAATGCAAGAAATCATTCAGGAATTTTACACTCACAATTTGACCATATTCCAATCTAATACCGATTAATAACATTCTGTTGAAATGTTTTCATTTTGAAAAGGAGGATATTTGGAAATTTCCTAAGAACAGTCGAAACCTAAATAACTTTCATACATGGAGAATTCCACACACTATTGCTTCAGGATCAAACCGTGCTTTCAGCTTCTTGTGTAAACTGCATTTTTAGAGAAGAAATGTCGACTTTAAAGTGCACCCAAGTCTCGCAATTCAATAGCAATGTGCTTCAAGGGGCACCTTTCCAAGGGAGAAATTAAAGTGTGAAAGTGCGAGATAAATCGAGAGAACGCGAGAGATGAGTGAGTCTTTACTTTCATGTGCAAACAGTAGGTATATTACTTGTACGTCTGTTATACTTTCTTTTTTGTTAGAGTAAACCCACTGCTTTCTACCTCACGTTTAGTGTCCCGCACAAACTTCACACTTAATGTCGTTTGCATTCACTCCCCTGCTTTCCCGCCATTTTGTATTCCCATGTTGAACGCAAGGGCAACGGCAATGCGTATATAGTTTTCTTGATTAGATTTACAACTCGTAAAATTTAATTTGTGAGCTCGAATCGGTCCGCGTCTTAGACGAAAGAGGCATTATTCCTCTTGTATAATGGGTTGAAGTATGACTTTGGGGGCCTTTTTTTCATTCTGTGATTTTTCGAACCGAATGAGTCGATTGCATTTTCTATAGCTTCTGCCGAGCTTCTGCCGGCGAGGCTTATCTAATTTCGATTCTGTGATGCATCGAATATTGATTTTTCTCCCCTCTGAGCCGATTATGTCAGCCTTACCTCTTGACTTACAACGTACGGTTTCTATTTTATTCCTCCAAACCGAATAATAAGCGTTATAGTGTTCCTACAACCGAACCAAGTATTCCGTAGCATTCCGTCTCAGTGCTCTTCTCACTGTGAATTGGGGTCATTTTGCCTAAATGTCAATTCGCTCTTTGTTCATTCATATAACTTTGGAATCATTGACTGAAAGAAATCAGTGTTGTTTTTCTCAACAGTGTGAGGGACTTATCGAGCTCTAAACCTTTCAATCGTCACAGGTTTCTCTTCTTTAACTTGTAAAAATTACTTAAAACCGTAGGTAGCAACGACAATTTCGGGAAAATGTTATCTAAATCCCATTCAGTTGCCATGTAAATCTCAGATGCCTGATTCTTTTGTGTAGTCTTTTTGCGAGAGATTGTCTCCGTGATGTTTTGGTTCAGAATTATTTTTTTTCACCGCCTTGAGAAGGACAAAAAAATGCCCACGATGTATTCGGCTACGTCAGTAGTCATGTGGTTCCTTTCAAAACATGTATTCCGGACTGTTTTGTATTCCTAGTCAGTCTATCTATCATGTTGTTTTTTGAGGAGGGGGTTCGTATCGTGTGTGGATGTGCTCATTTTTTGATTTTAGGTCCATGAAGGCCACATGATGTCAACCTCATAAGATCGGTTCAAGGATCCGCTGAAGTTGACATGTAAAACAATTGACATGTACGTCACGATTAGCAGACAACGCTGATAAACAATAGAACTCAGAATTTCCATAAGTGGTGTTTCCAGATTAGGCCAACCTACTGAAAAAAAGAAACACCAAAGATGTCATTCTTTAGAAACCCAGTCCACTTGGTTTTGTTTCGATGATGTTTCAATTGTGGGTAGCTTACATGTGCGTCGTGGTCATCTTTTTTTACCCTCTTTTTCAAAAGGTGCGAAAATACAGGCGGTTTATCAAACTTGAGCAGTATTCTCTTCCAGAAAAGCTGTTTTTGTAGAATTCCAAATTCGTCTGCACACGAGGCGTATTTCGAGGCACACTCTTCATCGTGGAAACGCTCGTGTAAGATTTAAAGCAGTGTAGTTCTTGTTTTATCCACTATCTTAAAATAGTAAAAATTCACACATCTCTGTATTGTGGTACACGACTTGTAATTTGAACACTAGGTGTTTACGGCGTCGTCGACCTCTTTCTTTTCTGTATTTTTTCGGAGTTTTATTTGGTTTATAATGAGTAATAAAGACTATATCAGTGCACATACTAGGCGCCTGTCCCACAGGTATGTACATATTTAAATGTAAGAGTGTATAATTACCATTACTATAGAGTGTGGGGCTATAATATTGATATTATAAATGTTGATTAAAATGATTGTCTTATAGTGTAAATGCGTTTGGTGTTTCTGTATTTGCTTTCGAACGGTGTCACCAGACTGTTTGGTATGCTGTGTGTATGTATGTCGATATTTTAATGGCGGCATATTGGTTTGATTCCCAGACGTTTCAAACGAGGATAGAACAAGGCTGCTTTTTAACATTTGTTTCACGTTGCTTTGTACACAAGGTCCCTGTTTTTGTGCCGCTCATATAACATAATCCCAAAGATAGAAAAAGCATATATTGAAAACGTTTTCGAGAAATGTACCAGGAGAAAGTCAGGAAACAAGGGGTCCAGCAGAGCTTTTGAAGTTCCCCAGTTTTCTCTTGAATAGATCGTCAAAGTTTCGAGTTACTGACTGACTGTCTTATGATGTCAAAGACATCCCTAGATTTCAGAGACATGCCAGGTAATTTAAGAATGATCTGGCGGCTTTGCTTGAAACGATTTTCAATCTTGAAGGCTCCAAACATTAAATGTTTGTTGCCTTTTTGTTATAAGACATCTGAATTATATTTTTTTGTATGACTGACCGCTGTATATCTGCTCCATGGGTATAGTTGATATTCATGGGGTGGGGAGTGACGGATTTCCTCTTCATATGTTCCCGGGTTGGGGTCATTTGCGAATTCACAACACCTACAGACCATGTCTCATTAACATGCCACCAAACCTGAGCTAGACCGTTGGAAGTAACCCTGTTTGTCCGTCCGTCTGTATGTCCCCTGATTTCAGTTTTGTCTGTTTGTCCAAATCCAAAAACATCTGCTCTGGCACCATGTCAAAGTGGATAACTAACGGCGAGTATCGGTGGCAAAAACCGGCAAGATTGATGCTCTGATCGGCGTGTGGGGTCGACGGACTCCAACGGCCTCTCCAGCACCATCATGAGCTAACAACGGTAATAAAAAGAAAAACGAAATGATTTTGAATCGGACATAATGGAGTGGTGTTCGACCGCTGGCAGCGCAAGAGAGAGAGGTCTGTTGTACAGCCAGAAATGGGGAAATTATCCATTCGAGAAATGGAGGCAAAACAGGTCGGGTGTGAGATGTAGATTTAGCATTGGCAGACACCGAGTAGTGTGGGGAGATTACTAAAATGAATTTTCCTAGGTATGTCCTTCAAAGCAAAGTAAAAGTATAGGAATATATGATTAACGGAGATGGACTTTTTCTTTGGACGATGCATGTGCCCTATGACATTTTTGCGGCATGGTAACCGGCCTAGGCCCGTCCGCCTCACTGTAACAATGACAATACGCCAACAATTGTAACTTTGTTTTTAATACTGTGTTCTTCGATATTTCCAGTGATGAGCATAGGGTTTTGCTTTCTTGCATATGGGAAGTCAGTGGGAACTTGACCAAAACACATGGTTGTACAAGCACTTAGCACACAATCTCGGGCAATTAACTTGCATTGGATGACAGTGCAGAGTCTCCAATCAGAGTGACTTCTTAGGGGCGTGTTATTGGTATAGAGAGGGGGGATTTGGAAGAACAGAGATAGGTTGATTGTTTTGTGGGGATGGAGCTTATGAAGGGAAATGTAATTTTAATGTAGCTTTCAAAACGAAGAGTCATATAGGATCGGAGATTATGCTAGGACAATTTAAAATACATGTTGACGTTACTGGTGCAATGATGCGAATTATCACTGGCCAATAGAATCATAATCATGGTTAGTATAGCATTCTTGGGATGTCAAGAGAATGTTTTCCTATTCAGCGCCCTGCAGTCCGAAGAGCAATACTGTAGCGCCATGCTGGCAAGAAACCGTGACGGGTGTCATTCTGTATAGGCATTGAACCGCGTGTGTCTGCAAGTCGGGCGGGGGTGGCCGGAGGGCACCGTTAGGGGAGGGGAAGGACGGTAAGAGAACAAGACATGCCTGAATATTTCTCAGTTTTCCTCGAATCGGAACCTAAAGATGCCTCCGTGTTAATGGCGTGCATATCCTTCAGGATGCAGGCCAGTACATAGGCTCCAAATGGGTTACGATATTCATGCCCTCAAATTATGTGTCATCAGTGCGTTTTGCCGACCATGGATTGGAGGGTTTGTAAAACAAGAAAAGGGAAGGCTTGAATAAAATGGTAAGCTTTGTTTTTCTGTGAAATTTGAGCAAATTCGCTTTATTTTACAATAGAATGTTAACATCCTTTTATGAAACACGTCCTTGGCCTCTTGGACTGCTTAGACAGGTGATCATCATTGGATCGGAAATGTCTTCCAAGAGTCGTGGGTTTGCCACTATTGAAAATGAGCAGAAAACAAAAGGTGAGGAAATCAGTATTAAGTTGATTTGTTTCTAAAAACCTTGGACATGGGTGATATTTTAATTACCTCATCTTTTCTTTGAATTATGAGGTCTTTATCATTGTTTTTGGTGGATTATTGACCGGTGTATCACATAACCGATGACGAGCAGTCTGAAATAGATCAAGGGTGAAGCTTTTGTTTTTCCGTCCACAAGTTCCCTTGAAAAGGTTTGAATCTTTGTGAGATCCCAATCTGGCTATATCAGTTCGGCGATTTTTTAAGGTATCTTTGAATATGATAATTTTCTCGGGATGAAAAAATTACTAAAAAAGATCGGAGAAAGTAAACGTCTTATTTACACAACCTCATTAATATTCCGGCCCATTATACATTGCAGCGTCAAAGCAATACTGATTTTACGAGACAGGAAAAAAACGCAACTAGATTCATAAACTGAAACTCCTAGTCAGGGGAAAGGCCTCGAATGTTCTGCATGAGCGAGCAGGGATCTTCTGTTGCCGTCATGCGTGTCGTAATCCCCGTCAACCGTGTCGACTCAATCCGTGCCTCCGGTTTCGTCACGACAGCGGAGGGAACACCACGGGGACTTCAGGGTAAAGTGAGCCGGCCACGCACGGCAATCCACTGCCCATTAAACATTATTGCTGGCTCATCGAGCCTCGCCGATAACACCAAAGAAGACACCGAGAGATGGATAGAGCAAGGGAGAAGGGGAAGACAAGAGGGGGGGGGGAGAATCGGCTGGCAAACCACGAACTTGGTTTTAAAGGAGGCGATGGTACGGAGAGCGGTGTCTATGAGCGCGCGATGAATAATGAAGGGAGCTCGGCCCACTTGGAACGCCGAGTGTGACGGCGGTGTACACGCACCGGGAAGCGTTAGGTGGCAGTCGGAGTACAAGGTGTTGCAAGATGCTCTCCCCTGGGCAAACGACTTTGCCCGAACAAGACCATGGCTTCTTAAAAAAAAAGACAGACAGAAAGACAGAAAAATTGAAGATCTAACTTTCCAGAAATTGCTCTCTTATTACAGTCTTTCCTTGCATGTGGGTATTAAGCAAGATGGAATTGTCTCAGCCCTTCCTACAAAATGTGACACTGGATCATGAAGTACCAATCGGGGAAAAAGTTGTCTAAAAATCGGCTAAACTAACCACGGCAATGGTAAAGGCTAATTGTAAACAGGCTCCAAATAGTGTCCATTTTTCATGATTTTATTTCATTCAAATGCTGTGCCATTAGCAGATTTTGTGACCAATAAATTCGATATCTTGTAGACGGATCTGTGGACGGAACTGAAAGTTTGCATTTCTGTGAAATGTGGGTGAATGGTTGCCCTAAAATGCCTTATTTTAAAATGGAGTGCAGTGAGGTCTCATTCCTTACAATGGCCGTGGACTGCAGGACTACTGTCAGGGATGATCATCTTTGGATGAAAATTTCTCCTAAAAGTCTTCAGATGGCCCACCAAAATTCGAACGAAAAATGGAAGGTGAACTTTCAGATTAATGTGTGTCGAGAGTTCAATTTTGCCGCAGCGAGGGTACTTATTTATGTAAAATTGCAGTTCACTGTATCTGATCCGCAGCCTAATGTCCAATTCTGTGAAGGAAGCACAGACTTTGCAATGCCTTGTGGGTATAGCTTACCATCTCAATCAATGCGTGTTCATTTTGCAAGCTCATGTCACATGCACGCGGATGTGCTGACCCTTGTTGCTGTACAAACACAAAAAATACCAGCGCCCCGAACAAGCGAAAATTCAAGAAGAACGTACATCTCTTTTCATGGGCAACTGGCAAATCAGCACCCCTCAAAATTGGTGGAGACTCAAGTAAAATTATGACTGAAAAACCTACCAGATTAAATAATAAAGGAAAATAAAAGAAAAAAAATCAAATTAAATTTAAAACTTAGCAACACATTTCAAATACTCGAGGACAAAAGCCACTCCTTGTTAGAAGATTGTAAAATACAAGCTTTTTATAGGATCAATGTTAGTTTTTCAGCACCCATCATGAGATGCCAAGATAGTTGTGGATGGTTCCGGCATCGAGCTTTGAATAACTTACCACATTAGAATTAACTTTGCATTCGAAATTAAACAAAGAGAACCATTGATGAAAACAGTCTGTTCGTGAGAAGTCTTCACACAGAGAAAGATCGGTTGTCTTGGAACACAAGGAACGGTGGCTAAAAATAGCTAGCACGGAAGTTTCTTGTCTACAAAAGGTATGGAAGAGAAGAGTACTAAGTATGTGGAAAGTTTGATTTTGTAAAAAAAATCATAGAATGGTTCTTGTGGAACAAAACCTTCAACTCAGATGCATGCCGTGATCAAGTTATCGACGATTTCCATGCGTTCGATCTTTACTTTTTCTCGAATTTCAATTTTTAAAAAGGCCAGCAATTTGTTAAGTCCTCTGCAGTGAAGCGTAGAGGATGGCAGAACTGTCCTCATAACGTAAGTTATGGTATCACCAAATTGGGAGTGAACATTTCAAATCTATTTTGGGGCCGCTCGACGACAATTTCAACGATCTTGGAAGGAAATAACAGTTGAGCTAACAAAGTCAAGAATAACGTGAATGGATACAACTCACAACGCGTCGTTCATATTGTGGCGTCAGGTAAAGACGAAGTCGACGCGAGAAATCTTTTACAGTCATTGTAATAATGTGAATTTCAGTCTTATAAAAGTTAAATGGATTACCACTGACACATCCAA